ACTACACCCCTGGAAAGCCTTTGTTAACGAATCGTAGGTACGCGCGTTTTGGGGTTATGTGGGGCTTTCGTGGTCATGTAAGGTTTTGAGGTTGAGGTGCTGCTTTTCTTACCCAGAGCCCCCAAGGCTTACAAGATGAAACTTGTTTTGCTCCTTGCTCTACTGTACTTGGACTCAAGCAACGTGCCAATTTCATAGCCGAGCTTCAATTCTGGATCTGTCTTCGGCAATTGTTCGGAACACCGCCCTTCTTGACAAAAATGAGGTTGCAGTAGCGGTCAATGACAACAGGAACCCCCTGCTGTCCTCTCTGTCTCTACTCTAAGCCCTAAACTCCTCAAGTGGGCTCTTTGCTGAGAGCTTTCTTTGAAATGCCGTAATCTTCTAGATAACTAGGAAATCCGATGCATCCCCAGTTTGTGGTAACTGAAGACTAGATGACGAGAAGATGAAGAGACTCCTGGTAAAGTTCACAACCCTCTGGTTCAGCCTTGCCTGATGACCCCGATCTGCAGGAAGGAGATGGAGCGCGAGAAACGCCGGCCCCGCAGCGACGGGCAGCAGAAAAGCCTCTCCAACCACGGGTTTTGGGGGATTAAGGTGCATTGCTCCCGGCCTGCAGGCTCTGTATTCAACCCCCACGGCCCCTGAATCCTAAAGAATAAACATGTGCAAAGCTCTGGAGCTTTCATGTCGGGCCGTCAACCCGAGGCCCCACAAACAGAACTTGTCTTCACACATGTGCCTGTCGGCTTCTCTGTGCATACCACACGCAGAGAGTGTGTATATAAGTTTTTTTATCTGCATACATACACACATACACGTACGTGTGTATGTGTTTATATATATATATACACATATATTATATACATATACCAAATTTGATCTGCACTTCAGTTATGTGTGGTTTGCAAAGGAAAATCTGGAAGCCTGAGAGGATAAGGAATCCCATAAACGATTCCAAAGTAGCTAGATTTTCATCTAAAGCAACCAAGGGAAAAAAAGGACTCCTCCCTGAAGGACACCGAAAAAAACGGCCTACGACTGCCCAGAGACTCCAAGGCCCCTAACTTCCGAAATTCAATTGCAATTATAAGGAACCCCTGTTCTGATTCGGTGTTTAAAGGGTTTTGTGGGGTTTTGAGTTAGAGGGTCTAGAGGGTATCTTCCTCAAAAAATCAGGGCCAGGCAGCGAGCTGCATCTGGCGCCTTCGGCCAAGGCAGCTCTGTCTGCGTCTCGTGCTCATAGCTGAAGCCATTTCTAAGGCCAAACGTATGGGCCCCTAATGTGGACCCTTAGGCCTTTCGGTCTTTCTAGGGTCACGTAAGGGTACATACAGGGTATATAGCCGGTGTCTAAGGATCCCAGGGTTAAGGGCCCACACTAGGGCCCATGGTTTCAACCTTACACCATTGGAAGGAACAAGGCTCGGAGCTCCCGTTCGTGTGAGGGGCCTTACTAATTGGACTAGGGCTCCTTTAAAGGGCTACTATAGGGGTTATTATGAGGGTTCTATGAGGGTATAATGGGGGCCTTGATAATTGGAATAGGGTTTTGGGGGAGTTCTTTTACCCAAGCCCCATTCTAATTATTCAGGTCCCTATGTTACCTACCATTTCGAAGGCTTTCCCTGAGGTAAGGCTTCCCCGTTTACCTAATATTTCGAAAACTTTCCCTTATGCTTCTTTACGGCTTATTGAGTTATCAAAAAAACATTTTGTTGACGGAGGAAGCTTCAGTGAGGTAAGAATAAAGCGGAGGTCAGGCAGTCTTCTGAGGTTTTTGCCGCTATGACTATCACCGTTGGCAGTTAGGGCTTGCGGATCAGGTTTTGCCGGGCTTATATTGTAACTGGAGGATCTCGGGACATAGTAAGCAGGCAAAACTCAGCAATTCACATGCCCTTGGTGGATATGTCGTTTTTTTGACTGCCCTACCGAGTTCCCTGAGGGATCAAGCGAGGTTCAAATCTGCAGGGAGTACAGGGTGTAGAAACCTAGATAGGCGTGGCTACATTGTTGAGCCAGGGCAGTCGTCCTAAAGTAGTTCCAAGCACCCTTGAACGCATGCAAAGCAACAGGACCCCCCAACAAAATGCACAACATACTTGAGAAGGCCATGCATTAGAAACAGACCTCCTTTTTTTCCGGCGGCTCGGCCAAGACTCTGGCAGTTTCAGCAAACATGCCTAAACCTATTCCCTAAACCCTAAACCCTATACACCTAAACACATGCAAGGGCAACTTTAAGCCCCAAGGCAAAGATAAACTCTCTGGGCCAAAGCATGGTTTGAGATTTACCCATAGGCCCCTAAGTAGTTCCTTTGGGTTGGTTCATATTTGGAATCCCATAGGGAAATCCCAAAAAGGAACTACTTAGGGGCCTATGGGTAGTTGAACTCTTCAAAACCTTCGGGGGCTTACAATCTGTGGCGTCATAGGCGTCCTAAACCCTAAACTCTAAAACCGAGAACCCTAAACCCTAAACCCTGAAAAGCCTAAAGCCCTACGATAAACCCTCCAAAAGACCCCACGCCTACCGGGCAGAAGCTCGACTTCCAGCTTCCACGCGCGACTTCACACACATGATAATAGTAACATTAGTAATTTTAATCATAGCAATAATTCATAATACTAGTCATATTAGTAACATCAAAAATGTTAACTTTACCAATACAGCGTTGATCCATGCCACGTGCTCGACCACACAGCGGCGATGTTGCTGTCTTCGTTAAGCTTCAGCTTTGTTTGAACTACACAGGGCGGGCTTTCGATGAATACTTGTCGATCCCTAAACCTTATTTTGTCCTAAACCCTAAACGCTAAACTCCTAAACCCTAAACCCCTAAACCCCTAAACCCCTAAACCCTACGCCCTAAACCATAAACCCTAAACCTCCCGACGCCACTCCAAGGCAAAAGCAACGTATGTGGGTCGCTGGGTCTGGCGGATTTGTCTTTCGGCTGCACTCGCGCTTGTCACCTCTGGGTAAGAACCACGATAAAGCACACCTGATTAAGTTAACCCTTTTCCACAGGCTTGAACTGAGCTCGCGAGTGCGATGTGCTGCGAGGGATTAAGTTAACCCTAAAGCCTGAGCCCTTACTACGCCCTGAACCCTAAACCCGAAGCCCTTAGCCCTAAACCGCTTAACCCCCAAACCCTGAACCCTAAGCCCGAATAAAAGTCGCTTAGGACGTGGACCACCAGGACTGGTTTTGCAGGTTTGTCCGGGGTCAGAGGTGATTCCGGTTGAGGCTTCAGGCTTTGAAGACAATTTAAGTAGAACTTGCTCAGGGGAGTTCCATACTTAGAGGAGTTCCATACTTAGGGCAGTTCCATACTTAGCGGTTTAGCTCCAGATTGTGGGTTTGAGCTTCTTAGCCTAAACCCTAAACCCTGAACCCTAAACCCAAATTAGCCTGTAGCTCTAGAAGCTTTCGAGCTGAAAGAGTACGGTGTGACGTACCTGACGCCTTTTTGCGCACGAGGGTTACGGTTGCGCATGGATCTGCCGCAGCTCGAGCTCGAGCAGGTCCAGATGTTTAATGGGATAGTCCTGAGGTCTGGTAGCCCATCCCACTAGGTTTAGGGTTTAGGGGCTATAGGGATTTAATAAGGTTTAGGGCCGTTTAGGGCTTAGGGTTTAAGGTTAAGGGTTTAGGGTTCAGGCACCACAAACAATGCGCGCAAGCGTCCAGACAATAGAGACCTTGACTTGACTATAGGCTAATTACTCATTTTTCTGCCACGCGGTCTTTCCGTCAGCCGTGCATCTATGCCTAGCGTCTACATCTTACTTACTTTCAATTCTCTGCTGCTCCGGTCCCAAAACATATCAAAACCCGACTCCCTAAAGACCTGCAAAAAAATGAAATGCCCAAAATAACTGCCCAAGTGTCAGCCACCTCTGAAGCGGGGAAAGCCGAGACCTCTTGCAAAGCACTTCTTGCCATGGACGGTCACCCGCAAACCCCTAGAACGAGAAGTATAAAGGGTTTAGGGTTTAGGGACGGTCACCCGTAAACCTAAAAAGCCAAGTACAGCGGCCCGTGCAACAGGCAGCTTAAGGTAGGTCCGGGTTGATTGTATTAAAAGGCTGTTGGATTGGCCTAGTCAAGAACCTCATAAACCCTACACCAGACCAAACGAAGAGAACTTCGCTGAAGGGTCTAGGTAGGGCTTGCAGGGCTGCGAAGAGAGCGAAGCAAGCGCCTGCAGTCCTCTTCGAGTTTAAAACGGGCCACCGTAAAACATAAGCAACAAGGTTTTGTGACCTCCCATATGCCATAAACCCCTCGTTATGTTAAGCCAATCAGCTCGGGGAGATCCTGCTTTGGGTTCCTAAGATTAGCGGCTTTCGAGTTCTGAGCTTCTGGGAGTTGGGGTTTAGGGTTTAGGCTTTATAGGGTTTAGGGTTTATATAGGGTTTAGGGTTTAGGGTGTTGTGTGCATGTCATACGCCGAAGCCATGTTTGAAGGTGGCCCACGTTGAAGGAATGCTTCCTTTTCTCCCAGACTTGGGAGTTCCGACATCCCACTCCCTCATCCTGGCCCCTACACCGCCCCCCCCCCCCCACAAGCAACTCTGGCACCAACACTCTGAACTCAAATGGGACTTTCCGAAAATTAGGGTACCTTATTTTGGGGTCCTTACAATAAGGATCCTACTATTTAGGGTGTCTACTATATTAGGGACCCCTATTTTCGGAAACCCCCAAATCCCTCCAGGGTCTGTTAGACTAATCCCAATAAGTTACACCTTCACAAAAGCAAGAGATCCCCCCCCCACACGTGGAGCACACCCAGGAAGAGTATCGAGCTGCAAACGGGATGAAGGTGAGGGGTTTGGGAGTTTGCCTGGACCCTCCAATTCATAATGCTTTTGGGGCTTGGGTTGGGTGGGTCCCGTGCGCGGTTCACGAGTTTGTGGGGTAGGGTTCGGAGCATTGCATTCAATGCTGAGGTTCTACTGTACTACTGAACGGCCGACAAGTTGCGATGAGCCGCGACATTACAACTGTCTCCTTGGTTGCAGAAGACAATGCACCCCACAAGCCACAAACATCTTCTCTCTCACAGTCTCACAGATTCCCAACTGCAGTGCTAAGTCCCCAGCCACCACTGCAGTGCCATTTAAATAGTGCTGATTTCAGAAGACCCGGAATTGTGAATGTACATAGCCGTCTCCAAGACATGTCGCGGATCAGCATGTTGAACCAAAGAAAACCCTGGCAAAAAAATCTGGTTAAGGTTTGTTTGCCCATATGTCGAAACAAGCCGCCAGCAAGGTGGCGAAAGTGACCCAGAAATGCACGAGGCGCTCCGTCTCTTCCTTATTCGCCAACACATGAAACCCAAAAACAAATAACCCTGAAAAACTCCTAAATTTCAGATTAAGCATTATGAGTCTGCAAACCCGAGCACCAAAACCCGAAGATGTAGTAGGGAGTCTGTATAAGTGGGGCTGTCCGCAGTGAACGACTCCCTAAGTACCCTATAACCTATAACCACCTACTTGTCCAGTATCCTGGGGAACGAAAGGTTAATCTTTGAAAGTATAATAGGGTTATATAGGGCTTCTTTTTTAAAGTGTGGTGGCCCTTTCTCTCCGTTATATAGGGTTTTGGGTTTAGGGTTTAGAATTATAGTAAAGAGATGTAGTACCCAAAAGTTAAAGGTTACCTGTTCTACTACTAGGACCATACTATAACCACACTGCTCTCACCAGTTTTGCCATGTACAGTAGTCGTATCAAAGGTCTAAGGTTTGGGTTTGAGGGGTTACCAAGTTTTTAAGTCCCCCCCCCCCCGAAAATGAAGGGATGTTCCTGCTTGGAGTACTGGGCTCACTCTGCCAAACTTCCTTCACTCAAGGCCTTTCCTTCGGAGTCACGATTTTGGAGGTCAGGCTCTATGGATGTCAGGTTCCAACCAACCTCACAACGAATAAAGTTCAGAAGGTTCACCAGGAATGAACCAGTGATACTGAACCGCGAATTCTGTCTGGACAATAGGATTCCAAGGTGCAATAAGACTATATGAAGCCTATAGAGCTGACTCTTGCAAATACTTCGAACCTCACGAGTACAATAGTGTACAGTAAGACTTCGAACCTCACTACCTAGAGACTCCAATATCCTTTAATTAAGGAATATTCCTTAAATTACAGTAGGATTCCTAATATGATTTAAGGTATATTCCTTTATTAAGGGATATTGGAGTCTCTAGGTAGTACAATCGTGTACAGTAGTAAGCCCAGCTGCGGGGTGCTCCGGATCCACCCAACAGTTCTTCTCCTCTGCCAGCAGTGGCACCAGGAGCCCAAGAAGCTTTTGCTGCAGAATGCTCAGAGCGACCATGGCCTGGCAGTAGCTGAGGGTTTAGGGTTTAGGGGTTTAGGGGTTTAGGGTTTAGGGGTTACTACAAGGGTCACTGTCAGGTTTCTCTACAGGTTAGATGGGTTCCCTCGGGAAGCAGGGTTTCTTTCAAAAGGGTCCCCTTTCACGGGTTCCATTTTGACGGGACGAGTAGAAGCAGTAGCAGGTATGGCTTTAAGGGTCCAAAGGGCCCTATACTGAGGGTTGATGGGAATCCCTACAAAGAGTTCCATAAAGGGTTCTATCATTGCGGCATTACAGGGTTTGGAGGGTCCATAGGACCCGTTAAAAAATGCTTTGATACTTGCTGAGTTTCTTCTGAAGACTAAGATCTTCAGGATTTCAAATTCCATCCTGATGCAAGTGGAGCGGCCGGCCTTGACAGAAATGAATTTCCTGGTGGTGTTCCAGCGATGCAGCAACTCGTGCGTCGCCGCATACATCACAAAAAGGCCATACATGGCGACCATGCCTGACACTTTCAAGAGGGGATCCGCCACAGCATCAACCTCCCAGTATGGATCCAATGTGAATCGCGCCCACATGAAGTAGGCATTCACGAAAACCTGCATGACCACATATTGCCGCACGAGTCTGGAGACCCAGAGCAACTGCTTTGCTGTGATGTGGTGCGGTTGAACACACGGCCTGAAGCAACATCCGAACGGAGGCACGGCAAAGTATTTCTGCGGCCCAAACTTCTGCAGGGTCTGGATGATGCTCTGGCGCAAAGAAACCTGGGACGTCCGTGACGAAGGTGACGAAGGCTCGTCAATCTCTACGCCTTCTCCTTGCTTCATGGCCTCCACAGATACCAGCATGAAGAGAATCACCATGAAAGAATAGATAGCAAAGGCCTCACCTGGACATCTGCCATGTGCAATCGCCAGACATCCAGAAACCTAAAGCCGGAATCTCCGAAATGGCTCACGATGGCCTAAATTGGCCTAAACGTGCTGAAACCCCCGCCTCTAACGGGTCTAAAGCTTCACCCTGAACAACGACCTTGGCCCATGAAAAGTTCGGCAATGGGCGTCGACAGCGGGGTGAAGAGCGTCAGCCAGCAACAGCAGGCCCAGACGGTGGGGAAGGCCAGCATCCCATGGTACGATGACCGAAGCCTCGCTCGTGACGTTACGAAAAGGGAGAGACAGGGAGAGCGGGAGAGAGCGAGAGAGAAGGAAGACAGGCAGAAGGCAGACAAGCAAACAGAAGGGAAAAACACTAAGCGAAAACAAACTAAGTAGCCAACAACACATACAAGCACATACTTACTTTTGTATGTGTAGGCATGCATATATATATATACACACACAAATTATGTATATATGAAAATACTAGTTGAACATGCACGCAGCGGCATCGTTGCCATACATTCGCACTCTCCCTCTCTCCCTCTCTCTCTCTCTCTCTCTCTCCCTCCCTCTATATATATATATATATATTTCTTATATACCTTTATAAATGTTTATACAAACATATAAACATACGTATGTTATGTACACGTGTATGTATGTATGTATGTATGTATGTATGTATGTATGTATGTATGTATGTGTATATGTGTATATATGTACATATGTATGTATAGGGAGAGATTTAGAGAGAGAGAGAGAGAGAGAGAGACAGAGACAGAGACAGGGACAGAGACGGAGACGGAGACAGAGACAGAGACAGAGACAGAGACAGAGAGAGAGACAGAGACATAGACAGAGAGAAACAGCCCCCATGGTGGGATTATTGCGCCTTTGGAAAGGCACATTAGCTTCGAATCTACC